TCTCTCTCTCTCTCTCTCTCTCTCTCTCTCTCTCTCTCTCTCTCTCTCTCTCTCTCTCTCCCCTTAAAACATTCCCTCTCTCCCCCTCTGTGAATGGAGACATACACATTCATATTTCCAATCGCCAAGCATCTATCCCTCTTACACCCGCACATTTAGCTGCTTCATCGCGCTTCCCCTTCCCCGTTGCCCTACTCCTTTCTCCCCTTCTTCTCCCTTTTCAGACTTTTTTCCTTCTTAGGAACAATGAAATGATTTGCACCAATGCGGGTGAAACAGATGTAGCGGGTCAACTGAAAAAAAAAAGATAGAGATCAAGAAGAAATGGTCAGGGTCATGGGGGGTATCATATGAGAAAAGACAGTGAAGACCAGCATCGCAGCCTCAAATTCCAAAAAGAACACACACACAAAAAAAAAAAAAATCAGACCGATTGGCATAAGCCGACAAACGCAGTGCGGTTTGCCACACAGACATACAAACAACAACACGATCTCAAGTTGTATTATTTATATTGTATTTTTTATATTGTATTTCTTATATTGTTTCATTACAGATTATTACCTACAAATGGCCATAATAAATTTTTAAAAAGCTTCAGAAAGGAACGTCAATCAGATTATTACCTACAAATGGCCATAATAAATTTTTAAAAAGCTTCAGAAAGGAACGTCAATCATGTTGTACACCTACTGACCTTTTCTCATTTCTTTACGACGACTCCGAGAAGGGAAAAACAAAAAAAAAAAAAAAAAAAAAGAAGGCTCCAATCGTACCTTGTACTGCGAATGCGGACCTGGACCAGGTCCAGAGAATGGACCGACCGGTGGGCGATGACCACCACGCTTTGCACCATACTGAGAACCTGGTCCAAGCATACCAGCTCCTGAGGGACCGCCAGCGACCCCGGGCCCAGTACCACCCTCCCCGCCTGGTGGATTCGAAAGGCCCATCCCCCCTGCCGCTCCTACTTCTCCCACCCCTCCTTCTTCCCCCGCCTCCTCGTCAGCAGCCCACTCAGGCTGCTGCTCATAATCCGTTATTATTACCAAGTCCTCCCCGTCGTCATCTTCGTCATCCTCCTCCTCCCCTTCTTCCTCCATCCCCTCCCCTCCCTCTACAACTCCACCCTTTTCCTTCGTCTCCCTCCTTTGTGACCGTCTCCCTCCTCCTCCTCCTCCTCCTCCTCCTCCTCCTCTTCTCTGCCTCATGGAGCTCAAAGGTGGCGGCTCGTCCAACACAATCCTCAACCCATCATCGCTACTCTCATCACTCTCCTCCCCTTCCTCCTCCTCCTCCCCCTCTTCCTCCTCCTCCCCCCGGTCCTCCCCACCCTGCTCCCCTTGCGCCTCTTCCCCCTCCTCCTCCTCATCCTCCTCCCAGTCTACACCCTCTTGCGAAGCCTGCTCTAGCCACGCCATTCCCTCGTTCCCCCTCGTCACGCCACCACCTACCTCTCCCAACAACAACGACTCCACCGCTTCGTCATCATCCTCCTCCTCGCCTCCATCTCCCAAAGCTCTCCTCCCGCCATTGCCTCCCCCAACCCCTCCTCCATCCCCTCTGACGACTTTCGAGCTTGCCAGGCTCGCGCCTCCCCCTCTGGCACTTGCACCACCCACACCCCCTCCTTCTCCCTCCTCCCTCCCACGTCCCCGAGACCTCCCACCATCCTTCTCTCTCTCCCCGCTTCTCCCTACAACGTCATCACCGTACAACTGACTGTACAACGAATTCTCACTCTCTACCTCCTCTTCTTCCACGTGGCTGCCGCCTTCGCCTGCTGTAGTGCCCGCCTCGCTCATTCGTCCATTTGCCGCCTCCCCCCCCCTTTCT